GAGGCAAGGCTGTCAAAACCTCTTCCTATTGGTCTGCGGGCTTTCATGTGACTCTGTGAGGACAACCCAGGGTGGTTTTACAAGGTTCTATGAATCTAGTGGTAAATATCCCTTCCTACAGCTCAATGGGGATTTAGAGAGGTCACATGAGCCACTTCCCTAGACATTTCCCCTGTAGAGGTGGAAGGTTTGGCTGTCACAGGGCAGCAGCATTAAAAATCATCCACTGATGTGGGGGGATAGCCTTTGGCAAGAGCTACATTATCCGACTCTTCACAGTTACATGCACTGTTACTTACACTCCATTTTGGTGCTCTCTTATTCAGTTGTTTCTGAAATAGAGAATATCTATATTTATTTGTGTATGTGTTTATTTAACATATTTATATCACACTTTACAAATTATTAAATTGAGGTACCTTTTAAAATAAAAATATGCACGATGCCAGACTTAATAGAATACAAGCTGAAGATAGTAAAATATTCATATCCAAAGGAGAGAACGTTATTAGGGTTATCAACTCAGGTAATAACAAAAAAATTTGGGAGGTGGTTTTGAGTTCTTCCATTTTTAATAAGAACCCACAGGACCTTCCCTATATACCAGCTGGGAACAGCACTTCATGGCCTTTTTTAATGATAGCTGCAAATCCACAGTGCCAACTGATCTGCTTCTACCCAGAGATCTCCCAGAATGGTCCCCAGTCACAACTAGTGAAATTAAAAAGCTCACAGGACACCTTAGAACTGGAAAGGCACCGGGTCTGGATCCCCTTCCTCCAGAACTGCTAAAGGCTGACCCTGATTGGTGGGCACCTGTTCTCGCTGCTTTATTTACATCTGGTATACATCATGCCCAAAGCATGGACACAGGCCATAGTGATTCCCATCCATAAGAAAGGTAATAAGAAATCCCCTGCAAATTATAGACCAATAAGCATTCTGGCCATCACTGGAAAGTTGTACGGCAGCTACGTCCTCCAAAAATTACAAGACTGCCTTCTAGACCAACACACCCTGGGCCCTGAATAAGCGAGTTTTAAGGCAGGAAAGTCTACACTAAACCACTGTATGATCCTATTACATCTGAACTCCAAATATGCTTCGCAATGTAACACTTGTCTGTTTGCAGCTTTCTTAGACCTAAAAGGGGCCTTTGATTCCATTGACAGAGATATTTTATGGCTAAAGCTTTCTAGGCTGGGAATTGGTAGGAGGCCCCTCTTTCTTTTTTCTTTCTTTCTTTTTTTTAGATATTTTATTTTTAACATAGGGTAACAGGAAGGAAAAAGGGATTGAGGTTAAGGGGAAGAGGAGAAACAATGACATACTAACATCCATTCTATACATATTGCCATATCAAAATTCCAAATTGCTCTTTTTTACTATTTTCTGCCTTCCAGATTTAAGTTCTCATTTTAATGCATGTTCTTGAGTCTGATGACTCAAACCATTTGTAGAATAAGTCCCATCTTTCAGTTGCCTTTTGTAGAGGACAGTCCTTCATCACTTCTGATAAAATGTCCATTTCCACTGTTTCCCGTATCTTCTCTATAAGATCTTCATGTTTCGGTACCATCGGACTTTTCCAGTTTTTGGCATAAAGAATTCTAGCTGCAGTGACTATGTATATAACTATATACTTCTTTGCCTTATCTATGTTATCAGGTATCATACTCAATAAAAACAGTTCTGGGGTTAATGGAACCTTACAAAGCAATATTTGTTGCAGCACAGCATGTACCCTTTTCCAATACTGTTTTGCTACTCTACATGACCACCACATATGATAAAAGCTTCCTATGTGTGTTTCACATTTCCAACATACATTTGATACATCTGTATACATCTTCGACAAATTTTCTGGAGTCATATGCCACCTGTAAAACATCTTATATATATTCTCTTTAAAATTAACCAATCTTGTAAGCTTTATAGGAGGCTCCTCTTTCCGATTCGAAAACTCCATGCGGGCTCTTACCTGTCACATAAAAATGTCAACGCAGGGGGCCCTTTCCAGTGAGAATTTCTCCAACAGAGGAGTGAAGCAAGGCTGTGTTCTGGCACCAACCCTGTTTAATTTATTAATGTTCTTGCCCCACTCCTACATAGTATCAATGGCCACAGCCCCAAACTAGGCCCTGTACAGATCCCAATCCTATTATATGCAGATGATATGGTTCTCCTGTCCCGCACAAGGGTCGGCCTAAAACAGCTAGTTAGCGGCTGCCATGACTACGTAACAAGCTCCAACTAAATTTTGAGAAATCTAAAATTACAGTCTTTGGCAAAGCATGGAAACCCTTTTCCTGGTCTTTCAATGGCAACTCTATCCAGCAGCTCAGAGAGTTTAAGTATTTTGGTGTCTTTTTTCATTATAGACACACTTGGTCGACTCACTGGCAGACAGCGATTACGTCAGCAAAGCTTTCAGCGCAGGCTATCGTATGCTTCCATCGCACTTAGGGCCACTCATACATCCCCGCTGTGCTGCAGATTTTTAATGCCAAATCTGCAGCACGGCTTTATGGTGTCCTCATCTGGATGTCTGCATTCCATAGCTCCGTGGAAAAGGACCAATCAACGTTCCTGTACAAAACCTTTGGCCTGCCCCGCTGTGTCTCCTATGCAACCCTGTGCCTTGAAGGCTGCCAACACAGGACTGGTTCAGATTCTGTAAATATTGGGTCAGAATCTATTTCTTCTCTGCCCAGCACATCCTATTCCAAGTGCTGCTTTCTGACAGTGTACTTCCAAAAGGTTTGGTCCTATTTATTAAGAAAATCAAGACCCTGGGGTTGTCACCAGATATGTTGGGTTCAATACCCCTATCCCAGGTATTCTGTACTATCAAAAATAGAGTTCTGGATACTGAGGGGCAAACCCTGCAAAGTGCTGCACAAAGGGTCTGCTCCCCACTATATTTTCAGTTGCCCCTCTCCCATGGCACAAGACCAAATTACCTCTATCTTTTAGAATTTAAATCATCCCCAAGACTTATGGGCATTCACCCTTTCCAGGTGCAATATTGTACCTTCAAACTTAGCACAGGGCAGATTTTCTATTTACTCACTGAACTGCGAGTCTCCCTCTGTGGCCAAGGAGTGGTTGAATCCCTGCAGCATATGTTGTTTTACTGAATCTTGTATAAGGATATCCGCCCGTCTTATCTGAGCACTTTCTTTTCCTTCCATTCTGGATGGAACGACCCAAGAAAATTTTGACACCTCCTAGGGGGCACTATTAAGGAACTTACCCTGAAAACAGCCAGATACATCCATTCCATCATGCAGAGGCAACACAGTGTGATGTCACAGAATGCCCAGCCCTAACAACGTTATTTGGCTGTTCCCTGCCACATGTTAGCTGCTGAATGTTTTATTTGCATCTTAGTGCGTTTTAATTTTGTACAGTATGCCAATAAAGGTTTCTGTCTGTCTGTCAAAGCAAATGATCAAAGTGAGGTACCTTTTTAAATAAAAACATGCATAATGCAGACATAATAGAATACAATCTAAAGACAGTAAAATATTCATCTCCAAAGGAGAGAATGCTATTATATGGCACTTTCCATGTCCATGTTTTTGGATAAAGCAACAAGGATAGAGCTCACTCTATCAGTGAGCAGACACAGTGACGAGATTGCCACAAAGGAGGAAATACAGAATTTCTACTTTGAAAAATATTATTCACTCACACTCACTGTTTTGTAGTACAAATGTAAGCATAGGCAATACATTTATAGGCTGCTAAAATATATATTATACAATCTGTTATCTTTTGTGGATCATGCCTGTACTGGTGTAAAGTAGAAAAGTTCATGGCAAAATGGATTTTGCCAGGCAAGTTTTTCTTTGATGTTAAGTCAGGAAATTTGCAGGCTGTATTAGAGCTGTCATTTTAATGTTACAGTACAGGCGAGGCAGCTGTGGTTTGGATACCACACCCCAGTTCTTCAAAGAGGAACAGGCCTATGTACACACCGTCCTGTTTGGTCTTCCTATGAAACAACGTTTCTGTTTCTCTAGGGAGTACAATTCTCACGACTATAGCACAGTTATGAAACTAAGAAAATGGCAGAAAAGCAATACTTAGATTTGTCCTTTTAAGTCTGACAATTGCTTCAGAACTAATCTTACCTTTTAGAAAAGTCTACCTGAATACATAATAAACCTGCATCTTTAACCCCCATGACACAGAAAATCTATGGAAATATAATACTTTTATTTCCACATTTAATTTGCATTAAAAGTATACTACAACTTTACATAGGGTTGTCTAAGAATGCATTTGTATGTGTTTCACTACTGTGTGGGTCTATGAGAATATGTTCACTTTCTCTCTCTCTCTCTCATGCACACACCTTACACATAAAGAGGCAACTACTTTTGCAATAGTGAAATATTCCCCCGCCCCAAATACATTTGTGGGTGTATTCTCTTCCAAGACAAAGGATACGTGGCACTCTCCCAGCAGTCAACACATCGGACCACCGTCCTCCAAGGAGGTGTTATCCAGACTGACTGGACAAGAACTTCTACAATCACTAGCCAGCATCTTGGATAGGAAATATGAGAGCTGTTCCTAAAGCATCACAGGGATGTCAGAGGCTACAACAGATTATAGTATGAAGTACATTTTTAAAGCATGTCTGTGTAACAGAAACAAAAAGTCAGTCTCCTAAGCTTACCAATGTGTATTTCATCAATATTATTTTTGATAGTAACCATCTCCACAATACCTAATATTTTAGATGTTCTGTAAAACACCCAGAAAGGATGAAGAAAGAGGGCTGCTGTCAGGTTTACAATGCAAGATACACGATAAATATGGGAAGCCATGGAGAGGAAACAGAAAAGCAAGAAAGCATTGTTACCCATATTGATTGTTAGAAATGGCATCAGGAAATTCAGAGATGGGGAATCTTTGGCTTTCCAAACATTTTGGACTATAATTCCCATAAACCCTTACAATTGAACCTGATCACTGGGACCAATGGGAGTGGAAGTGAAAAATAATCTGAAGGGCCAAAGTTCAGTATTGGAGATTGAACAAAATAAAACAAGGAGGCCTTATCATTTCCATCCTGCAAAGCATAGGAATCATGTGATCCTGACACAAATATGTAGGTGGTGGTTCCAACCAACACCAGCCAGCCAGCATGACCAGGGGGCAGAAATGGTGAAAGCTATAGTGCAACAACATGTAGAGAGTTGTGATGCAATAACATCTGGAAATTCTTCATGCCCAGAAGGATGAGGGAACCATAGCAGGTTTTTCAACTAGAATGAAAAGAAGAAGCTAGAAGGAAAAATAGTTTCATCCAAACTATAAAACCTAAACGTCCTGCACACTACTTCCTGTGATAAAAGGAAGGATGTGTGGAAAGATAGCTTAACCGCACTCTCTCCAGTTTCAACATCAGAATGCTGTGTCCTCACAATGTCCAGGCCTCATATGAAAGGGAATGAGATGATGCTACTTGTTCTGTTGTTTTGTCTGACCCTATCAAGCTGTAATCAGATGTGATTTAGGAGAATGATCACAAATCTAATTTTACATACACCAGTCCTATGCCTGGAAAAGCTTGAGGTTTAAATCAACCATTGTTATCTTCTTTACAGCTGTGCTCTATGCTTTCACCAACAACTCAAAACAACCTATGTACATTGCTCGCCTTGTGTCTTTGACCAACAAAGATTTTTCCCAACCCACAACAAAAGAAAGAAAACATCCCTGTCACTTTTGATCTGCCACACAAGGGTTAGGAGAACCAGCTCCTGCCCATAAAAATGAATTTTCTCCCAGTCAATATCATCCCTGTTTGGTTTTCTTGCTATTTTCTGAGACTTAGAAGGAAAGTGCAAGTTATATGAAGGAAGAGTAAAAATTGGTGGGAAAACATCAGTAATTTCAAATATGTAGATTAGACCATATACCTGACAGAAAGCAGCACTCTTAAACTACTGCTGAGGAAGGTTAACAGAGAAGTGCCAAAGCAGAATTACAGTTCGATATTAAGAAGACCAAAATAATGACTACAGAAACATTAGATACTTTCAAGCTGACAGTGAAGAAATTTAAATCAAGGTACTTTCTATACCTTGGTCCAGTCACTGATCCAAAGGGAGGCTGCAGCTGAGAAATCACAAGATGACTGAGCTTTGGAAAGGCAGCAACAAAAGAAGCAGAAAGGCTCCTGAAGATGATGGGTGTGTCAAGTCTATCCTATTGCCAGTTACTGGGTACAGAGGTCAAAGTTGCACAGTGAAAACCGCTGACAGGGAACAAATTATTTAAAATGTGCTGAGAGAGGGCATATAGAAAAGACCAATACATGGGTGCAAGATCAGCTAAAGGGAGCGTTTGATCTAGCACTGGACTCTCTGACAACAAAAACATCCTACTTTGGGCACATCGTGAGTGACAAGGCTC